GTAAATCTCAAAAATACAAAATATTGATAACAATAATATCGAGCAGAAATGAATCAATCTGCAAAGTAGTCTGGTATCCACGTCGTCAAGGCTTTTTTTGTTTGCTTACATACCATTGTTTTGTGAAAACGTTTGCAGTGTTAATAATGAATCCTGAAGAAGAGTTACCTCCCGATGTGCTAGAAGAAGCACAAAACGTGGTACTGAACTTGTTACCAACAAAATCGCGCGAAGTGTATGAGTGCGCGTATACCCGCTTCATCAAATGGTGCGAAGGGAAAAAGATTCAAACTTATTCTGAGAACGTCCTATTGGTATATTTTTCCGAATTGGCTACAAAAATGAAGTCATCCACACTGTGGTCGCAGTATTCCATGGTGAAAGCAACTTTAAATATAAAAAATGGCATAGAAATCGGAAAGTATTCAAAATTAAAAGCGTTTATAAAGAAACAAGGAGAAGGATACGTTCCAAAGAAATCAAGGGTTTTAACTAATGAACAAATAGAAGTTTTCTTAGACACGGCTCCGGATTTCAAATTCCTGATGATGAAAGTATGTTTATAACCTAATGAAGAGCTTATATTTATTTTACGAATTTTTTTCAGATTGTTGTAATCTTTGGCGTTAGCGGAGCTTGTCGGTGTCACGAACTATTGCAAATAAAAACTGAAGATATTGAAAATATTAAAGCAGGTTTATTGGTAAAAATTCCTGATACCAAAACGAAAAAACCCAGATCATTTACGGTTACGGGGGAAAAGTATTTGAAATTTTACGAAAAGTATGTTGCGCTTCGTCCAAAAATGTTTAATGAAGGTCGGTTTTTTATTAAATATGTCGACGGAATGTGCCATCGACAAGTAGTTGGCATTCATAAAATTAGTGGTGTACCCCAAGAAGTAGCCAAATATTTAAAGCTAGAAAACTTTAAAGAATACAGCGGACATTGCCTACGTCGGACTTCTGCCACGCTTTTTGTGGATTCTGGCGGTGATATTACGTCCCTCAAGAGGCACGGTGGGTGAAAACTGACAGTGTAGCCGAAGGTTACATAGAAGAGTCTCTTAAACACAAAAAAGATGTAGCAAAAAAAATTTTTCGTTTGGAAGAACCAGGTACAAGTAGTGAAACCACAAGTAAAATACATGAAGACGCAACGAATAGGAATGTGAGCGAAGTAAACCTAGAAGAATCAGGTACAAGTAGTGGAACTACGAATAGAATGATCACACGTGAAGACGGAATAAGTAGGAATGTGGGAGCAGTAAACCTGAATTTTGACACTGTGACCAACCAGACAGCAGGAGCGGTAGAAGTGTTAGCGCAAAATATTATTACTGACCGCATGAAAAATGATAATAGTGACGGAAAATCTTTAATCCAAATCAATCGCAGTTGTTCTTATTGTACATTCAATATTAATTTTAAAATTTAAATAATTAATAACAATGTAAGTTAATAATAAAATTGGAAAATATTAATAGCATTTCATTCTCAAAATAAAACAATTGAAAACTTTTTAAGGCTAGGATTAAAAAAAAAAATTAATGCTAGGATTAAAAAGGCAAAAATGACGTTGTTACTTTAGTAACGCAACTTTTTTTTACTCTCACAAAAACGTCAAGTTTTCCGTCCAAAATTGACATTAAAAGTGACATCTTTTAAGACGGCTGGCGAAAAAATAAATAGTAGGTACTGTTTATTCAGAAATTGTAAAACCACCACTTGTTGAATTAAGTTGGTACCAAATAAAACTTCTCTAGGGCTTATTTTTACACTGGCAAGTTGGTAGTGCAAAAAACTTTAAATTCGAAATTCCATCACAAAATTGTCAAAATAAAATAAACAAAAAGAACGTGTTTTGAATAAAAATCGTAATCATGCCAACCTCAATTTTTTTGACAGCACATCTTGGCACCAAAAGTCTCCTTCGACAATGTTGTCGGTTGAGTGGTCTTTTAATTTTTGAACGGACAATATATGTTAGAATTAACGTGGTAACGTAGTTCCCGTTCTAGGTATTACAAAAATATTTGGGGCAGATTCTAATCCTTAGCCCATAAAGGTAGAATGATAAAAGGGAACACGTCTCAGTGTATCAATATCAAATATATGCTCAAAAAAGAACCAAGTGAAGAGAGAGAATTATTAAGTTTATTATTCCCTCACTCCCAGAAGGAACAATTGAATCAAAATTTTTCTAAACATCGTGTATAAACAATTTAAAAAAATATGTGCACTGATAAACTGACAATGGAAGCATAACAATTTGCACATTTGTATGAAACGTGTATTTTGGTATTAAAACATATAAATTCAACTGTAAGGTTTTATTCCCACACCTCTTAAAAATTTACATTTACTTAGGAATAAGTAAACGACCAGAAAAAATTGGAACAGTTCTTTTCTCCGCTACAAAAAAGAGGAATGGATGATGCACTCGAAATTCTTTCGGTGGCTCGGGTATACTATTTTCCGCTGTCATACCTGTACGTAAAAATTGAAAATCATATAGACATAATAAAGTCTTTAAAATATTTAAAATGTATTTGGGTGTTACAGAACAGAACAATGCAAAAATTAAAATTCTGTTTAATTAAATTTAGTTCAATTGATTGTAGCTAGAAGATAAAACCGGGAGCAAATACTGGTGTAGCAGATTTTCTAAAAGCGTTAGCTCCTGACTACAGTAGGACTGCATAAAAACGAACAAGAAAAACAACAAATACAACATAGTTATTGTAATTACTGCATTATTTACATTATTAGGTATAATAATAGCGTATCTACACCAACTTTTCTCTATGTAGTTAACCACGTTCTAAATTAATAGACAATGTGAAATGGAGAAAAACTGGCTTATATAAACCAGTTGTGAAATTTGCTAAAAATTTCAAGTGATGTTGGAAGATGTTATTTCAAAAACGGATTATCTGACCTGATCTTCTTAACTAGATCATTCATGAAAATAACGAAGAAAAGTTGCCCCAAAATTTATCCCCGACGCACTCCAGAGTGAATGGCATTTTTTTTAGTCTCAGGTCCTTTAGATTTAACACATTGGAATCTGTTAGATAGATAAGAGCCACTCAATTTAAGCAAACACATTTGAAACGCTAACGTTATGCAGATTTGCTAATAAGATTTGATGGTTTAATCTATCGGAAGCTTTAGAGAAATCTGTATATGCTAGATTAAACTGCAGCTTCGCAACAAAAGAATCCAAGATAAATTGATGCGGAATGTTGTCACTTTGAAGCTTACACGAATGACAAGAGTTTGTTTCTTCTTAGACATATTTACAATTTTTGTTCAAAAATGTTAAGAAGATAAGTGTGACTAATTGGTCATAAGATGGGTTTCACGTAGATCTCGACTTCACACGTCAGGTCAAACCAAAAATATCTTAAGATATAAAACTCGGATTTACAGCGCACTCGAATGAATATTTTGTGTAAAATGGAATACTTAGTTGAAAGATGCGAGTCACACTGTAGGGTTGCAGAATGAAATAACTAACATAAATTCGATCATATATTTTATACTTCAGAAAATCGACCAAGAAACAATGAGTTCATCGTTATTTTATCTATAACTATATACGCGAAAGGATGATCTGCTATAACTTCGAAGACGCGTTTCACCATCATGTTAAAACACAAATCCCTCGGTCGGATTGCTGAACACACAAAAGTGTTACAATTAAAAAATATTACAAAACATAAACATAAACAAGAAGAAATATTAGAATGTCACCGTACAATCAAATGCTATTACAGAAGATCTATAGATTTAGTATAGTTGCAGTAATCCATTAATTCATAAATTAATTCTTTGATCTAAAATTCATTACACTCTTACATGTGCATATTTAAAAAAAAAGTTCAAAGTTCATTATGAACATGATTTAATATTGTTTGAGGTATTTCCACAATCTTGCCATAAAACAATTGCCCTCCAAAGACTTTGTTAGCCGTTCCCGTTTTCATCCCAAGATAATATATAAAAGGATGATTAACATAAAATTCCTCTGAATTCTCTAAGCATCGTTTCATCCTAATCATACCTGTGAAAATTTTATTTTTTATAATACTTAGAAAATGGATTAATTAAGATATAGATACAATTTCTACTAGTAAGCAAGTTAAACATCCTTGTGTTTTTCTAATAGTGATACGGCAGTAATAATAAACAGTGTCTGCCGAAAATATACTGCACGGAAAATAGAACATCTTGAAAAAATAAATTTACAATGTTGAAATTTTCAAGGAATATCCATTAATTTAGTTTAATACTTGAGAACAAAACATTTAATACCTTCTTAGGAAGAGCAATTTGGAGAATATTGAAATCTACTTTATCAGTACTTTGAATTAAACATGAACTTTGCGTAAAATAATGTGACAATTCTTCTATGAAAGGACATATTTATACTACATATAGACGTCAACAATTTTTGTTACATAAAATAAAAAAAAAGACTTTAAATTTACTTGTTCTAAGTGTTCAGTTTTCCTCGTCATTTACGGTAGTAAAGCGAAAATGCAATTTTAGAAGTAAATATGTACATAAAAATATGTAACTGGTAACATTTTGGAAGAAAATTAATATTCGGTGTTTCAAAGAGATGCAGTGTCGAGTAGTTAGTAGCATGCGAATCCAGTTGTGCCTGCTGTAAACAAATTTCCTCAACAATATAAAATTGCACAACTTTAATGGGCACAATTTCTGTTTACAGCTGTGGTGTTAATAGATCCATGTAGACAATAGCTGTCGAAAAATATACGTATTTTTTATAGTCCATTTAGTAGGTACAATAATATACTGCTTTCGACAGACATAGTCTACAGAATATTTAGGCATACTGGAGTTGTTAAGAAAATCCAAGGCCATAAATGCAAAGCAAAAACAAATAATTGTACATGCACAATCAAAACACAAGAATTTTTACATAAGCACTCAAATCAGCCACAAAATTCAAAATTAAAAATAACTTACCAGTAGCAGCAGCTGCCTCAGCCCCTTCTTCATTTACTTCAATAAAAGCTTTCTGTATTACTTTGCTGACGTATAGCTGTTCTTTTGCAGTAATCATACCACTGAAATCGGCTGAACCTGGACTAAAAATTTCACCAAGTCCAAGCTGAATAACAAAAACGAAAATTAGGAGAACTCTATTAGAACAGGCATTCCAGACAGTGTAATTGTTTTATAATTAGTTGAAATTTCAATGTAAAAAACAAGGTTAATGGAAATTTTACACAAAAATGGGGTAAAAATTGTTATGACGGTAATTATCCTCGCATCACTGACCCCCATTTTTTAATATCAGTGGGAATCACTTTTTTTTTATTTTACAAGTAATTTTTACATAATGGTTATATGTAAACTTTTTGAAAAAACAACTTACTTTTAAAAAATTTTGTTGTTTGTAACTTCGATATGATATATATACTTATGTGATAATTTTTCATTAGTCAAGGAAATTATTTAGTATTGTAAATGACGTGAAAATATTAAATACACACCTATTTCGAATCGTCGTTGACCGTGTTCAGCTGTTATAAAATTTTAATGAAAACAAAGAAAAACATTCTGAGTGCAAATAAGTTTCATGTAGTTTCAAAATTTCATTGCCTGTCACTTTTTCGCAAAAAATGACACAGTTACCATTAAACAATTTAGATCCTATTTCGATTACTAATTTTACCGACATGCCAACCAATAGTAGGAAACAAACTTTACGGCAAGCTGGTACACAACCTTCTTAAAATCATTAAGAATTGTCCAAAATTGCATACCTTAGTTAAAGAATCTTTTAAATCCATGGTTGTTTCAACTTTGAATCTTGGTAAAGCTACATTAACTTCTGTGTTCCACATATGTTGTGTTATTTCAGTTAAGTTAGCAGTGGCCAGCTTCTTTTCCAATTCAGCAATTCCATTTCTCTTGTTCGGCAAAATAATGAACATGCTCAGATCTTCGTTAGTGTACGACATTTCTAAAATTTGAGCATCCAGCGCTTCATCTGATTTATAATTGAATTTCTTTTTAGTATGCATCATTGACACATCTATCGAATCTACATCATTGAGATAGAATGGTTCAGTTTTGGTGGCTGCCTTGTCAAATTTATGCTTCCAGTCGCCTTTAAAGTAGATGGCATTTACAAGTACTAAACGCGTCAAGCCATTTAAATCGTCCTTGCTGATTAAATCCTTGATCTTCTCTTTTGTCTTCTCTTCTACCCAAGCGTTGATAGTTGCAGCAGCGGCTTCATTTGCCCCAAAATTGACTAGTTGCACTTCAGACAGGAAATTTTTAGTGACGGCGTTGCTGAATTCTGGAACAAGTTCATACCCGTCCATCAGATAGACTCTATTAGCCATAAGAAGTGTAACATTTGGAACGGAATTCAGGCGGTTCATCACAACGTTGTAACCTTCTGCAGCAGCTTTAGCTTCAGGCACGTTCAGTGTAGCAGCATACTTTTCAGCAGTTGTACCTTTGGCACCTTGATAGGACATGGAAAGAACAGCGTGCACGCTGATTGGGGAAAAGAAGACATTTCCTGCTTTTTCAGCCAAAACATTGTAGAGACTGGTAGTAAATTGCCTGTTGCTTTCCAGGACTTGGAGTTCTGCGGTTTTTTCAGCCATTGTTGACGATGAAAGAAGCACACCAAAAACTATTCCAAGAAGAACTGTAACATACAAGAAATTGTTAGATTAGTGCTGAAATAAAATAAATAAAAGAATAATTTTACCATAAACGCTAGCCGGCCGGTTACTAACGTGAAACATGCACAAGTCGGCTTTAAGTAATCAAGAAACTATTTTTAATCAATCGTTGCTATTCCCAGAATTTTTATACTGGCTAAATATTTAGACCAATGTTCGATGAAAAATTTTTGTGGCGCAATGTTGAATACGCCCATACCACTCTGATGACGTGTTTTGTTTTGTTTTGGTGTGACCGCACCGTGACAGTAGTGAGTGGTAGTGGGATTGAAACAATACTGCTGGATGTGAAGACGCGTCATCAAGGTTAGCGGTTCAGCAGGAAAACATTCCTGCTATCTTGTTCTTGTATAGGCAACCAACAAAACAGATTATTGATTTCAGTCAGTCTCACTGTTCGCTATTATTTTATCAATGCAAACAAAACTATAGCTAATTACGTTAACGTAAACTGTTTATCGTAACCTTTGCTTCAATTTAATAAATTAATATAATGAGCAAACTCATAACTAAAATTATACTACTACTTAAAGACTAAATATGTGAGAGAATATGTTTTAAGCATGAATCATATAGCGAAGTAATGTCCCCACTGTAACTGTAGTTGCTAAATCATTACCACCTTTTTATTTCTTATATTTTTTAGTACAAACTACTGTTTTCATAAAATCTTAAAATATTATTGAACTAATTTATAAAAAATCTACAAATGATGTTAATGTATATATAAACTAAAGTGCATAACACTCTGCATATGTATAACATATAACAATAAAAATATTAATAATAAATTATTTAAACGTAAACATATCAATTTTAATAGGTGCATTGTAACACTAATAATAACATAATATTCCTAAATTTTCGGAAAAATAGGGTGAATTGTTCTTGATTTGACTAGTAAAATAAACTGCCTCATTCATTAATTTTTTGAGTCACCCCGTATAAGCAATTCTAAAGAATATGAATGCAATGTTAAATCACAAGTATAGACCCATCATATTTTGTACATAAGATTTATTTGGGCAAATTCTGAGATGACGTCATCAATTTTTGCGGTATAATAAACAAATATATTTTAATTAAAAATTTGCCATCCCCACGATAACCTTAAAACGTCTGTAAAATTTCAGAGCATTCGGTTTTGTAGTTTCAAAATTAAATTGCAAAATGTTGTTTTCTAAAAATCTGGATATCTAGGGTGAAAACTCAACACGGATTCATACACTACAAGTGCTTTTTTTATATTTTTTATGAAATTAAAAACAAATTTACTATTGTAAGTTTTGGGAATGACGTTATCCCATTGGTGGAGGGATGATTTTCTCAAATTTTTTTTAGCGTTTTACCATATACATGCAAAATTTGACAACAATCGGTCAAGTAGTTTCGGAGATTATCTGTCTAATAAAAATTGACACGGACAAATAGACGGAAACGGGAAACCTCTTTTTTCGTATTCTAGGGGGCATGAAACGTCGAGAAAACACGAAAGTGGGAAATCGCCCAGTGGGTTCGGATACTAACTTCCTTAGTTTACGCTCATGAAGTAAAAATTACTGGCTCTCACATCGGAAGCATCAGTTACTGCGGCAATCCAAATTTTAGTAAAGAGTAATTTGATGAAAAGTGCGAGCTCCTTGACTTAAGAAGACAAGTCTAAAAGACCTGCAAGACGAAAATGTGGAATATTTCGAGCAGAAGACCAAAATTAAAGTTTTAATAATAATTTCTACCAGAAGACAAAAAATGAATGCAAAAAATAATATTTTGCAAAGACAAAGAAGAAAACGTAGTGGGAGGAGTTCCAGAAATAATGAATAATTGGAAACAGCACTTTGAAACGATTCTGAACAATGAAGGACTAGAAAGTTTCGAAGAAAATCTTGATCCAGCCAGAATCATGACGAAGCTCCAACTGAAAGAAATTATCGGAAAACTAAAAAACAATAAAACTGCAGGAGAAAATGGAATAATAACTGAACTTATTAAAAAAGGGGGGCTGGAGTTAGAACTGAGATTGGACAAAATATTCAGGGGTTGTAATAATCCGAGTTCTTAAAGAGATGTAGCAAACTGTAACAATTACCGAGGAATCGCGCTACTTTATACAGTTTACAACATTTTAGCGAACCTTATAAAAAATAGATTGGAACAATATGACAATGTATTTATCGATTACCGAGCAGGTTTTCGGAAACGACGATCCGTCAGCGAGCAGATTTTCATAAAATAGCACGTATTTTGGAAGAGCTACGACAACATTTTGAAAGTACATGCTTGATTGGACAAGTTTAGGACAGGATCCATAAAGAGGATTGGAAAATTTAGAAAAATTGGAAAGTTGATTATAGGGACAAAAATTACACTTGAAAATATGGAGAGCAAAGTACTCGTGAATGGACAAACATCGCAAACATTTAAAACTAACAGGAGTGTGAGACAGAATTACCTCTTGTCTTATTCAGGATAGTACTAGAAAATATAATAAGAGAAAGTGAAATTCATAGACAAAAAACATCTACATATTAACCTGAAGCACCAATGTTTAGCGTTCACTGACGACCTGGAGATAACCAGAAGATTAGAAAAAACTAAAAAAAAAGAATCAGACTAGAAATAAATTATGACAAATCCAAATATGTATGTAGTGTATAGAGGGGAACACTTATCGGCTTGTAAAAATTCACAACGTTACCTACCTAGGAATGAATATAAATATTTAGTATAAATGAAGAAAGCAATGAGATCAACTACAGAATAAATAAAGGAAGTAGAAGTGCTCGAGCGCTCGAGAAAATACTCAAATCTAAACAGATGTCCAAGGGAGCAAAAGAAAGACTACACAGAACTGCCATAAGACCATTCATCATCTATAAATGATTCTTAACAAGACTGAACAACAAAAGTTAGAATTATGGGAAAGAAAAATGTTACGAAGAATATATGGAGGAATAAAAGTTGGAGAAATCTGGCTACGAAGGTCTAACAGAAAAGCGTATGAACTATACAATTGCCCCATCATTATAGATCAATTTAATCACAAAAAATTAGATGGTTAGGACACGTCGAAAAACCACCAGAAACAAGAACCGCGAAGAAAAGAGTGAATGTGGAGAGAGGACGGCCAAGAAGAAAGTGGATAGATACAGTAGAGGAAGATTCGAGATAAGCTGAATATTAGAGACTGGAAGAAAAAGGTATAAACAGGAAAGAATAAAAAAAGTTGCTAATCACGCGTTAGGCCTATAAGGTCTGTAGAGTTCGACTATATAATTAATTATTCTTAATTATGTTGTATTATAGTTGACGTTATCACAAAATTTTATTAAGAAAATTGCACTTAATTTTATACATATGGTGATGTAATAACAAATTCACTAATTTGATAATACATATACTACTGATAGAATAAATCAAAACTAATTGAACAGTGAATATGGAACAAAAAATGGTAATTATATTATATATATTATGTAACTTTTAAATTTCTTAACATATAATACCCTGTTTTAACCGTTATCATTAACGAAACGACCTCCTAACCTCTACTGATAATTGCATCAACACTACCCTCAAACAGATAAAAATAATAAAAACATGTCTATTTATAAAGGTTTCCAGCTTTAACGCGAATTGATCGTTATATAAATTTCACCCCTTTACTTCACAAAAACTATTGCTGATGGCACTATAAAAAAAATATCGATAGAGTACCTGCCCATAGAATTTTGTGTAACTTCTGAACTCACCTTTAGCAATGGACTAAAATAGAAACTTAGGCTAAGAGATTAAATTCTACCTACATTTTATGGGAGTATTGATCTGTTTTTCTACTAGTTATACGCACGCTCGATAACAAAAAGTATAAAGTTAATTTTGTAACAATAATTGAAAAGCGAATTTCTAAAATAAAACCATATTGTCCTTGAAATGAATTAAAATAAAAAAATTGGTTACCTTTCATCTTTCCATAAAACATTTTGTAGCACAGTCACAAATCTAAAAACCACTAGAGAGCATCTAGCAAACACTGATTAAATTATCTTGGACACCAAGTAACGTTAAAATTTCAACTTTATCACGTAACAACAAAATAAGAACGATGCAATTGGGATTTTCCGCGCTGGTGCTTGAAATAGTAATTTACGCAACTAGTTCGGGATAGCCTGTTTCCCGCATGAACGCTTGTTTGAGGCACGACCGAAGGGAGTGCCGCATTTGCGTGAATGCGGGAAGCAGGCTCACGAACGTGTTGTGTACAATATTTTTTGCGACGAATAAACCTTTAAACTGGAGAGATTAACTGTGAGTTATTTATAAACAACGCCATTGACAGCGCCGTCAACACGTCACAATGTTGACACTACCCGAGTATTTTAAGGTTACCATGGCAACGGGAAGTTAAATGCACGTGTGCGGGAAGTTCGACCTCCCGCACTCTGGTGAATGCGCGAAAGCTATCAAAAAAGGTCATGAGTGCAAAAAATATATAGCGTTAACTACCAGCGACAAACAATAATGGGAATCACAGTAGGCAGAATATTGTTTTCGAATGAAACTTTAAAAAATTATCAGCGGTTTTTCCTGAGTTTCAACTCAGCAAAAATAATGGGCACGTTTTAAAAGAACAAGAAGCGATCAATTTAATTCGAAATAAATAACGAGAATCATTTGAAAACATCAATTTTAATGCAATATAGTCAGGGCCGGCAAAAAAAATCTCTTTGTGTTGGCCATAACAAATGATGTTACTCAATTGAATTTGTAAAGTACGATCTACAAAAAATGTCCTCAAGTTGGCCTTCGACGAGCAAGCCATGTTCACATTCTCCGTTTTACTTACTCGTCTTAACACCAGAAAGTTTTTGGAATTTTATTACCAGTACTGTAAAAATGTATTAAACGTTTGCACAGTATATTTTTATATTTTAGAAGGTGATCCATTACTTTTCAGTTTAATGGTTTCTCCAGTATAACATTTGTCTCAGTAATTACAATTTTTTGTTATGCGTAGAGTTGCAATAAACTCTTTCAGGTGAATAAAACAAAAAAAAAATTACATGCTATTTCATTTAGTTATATTTTCCAGTTATAAATACCCTATTGCCATATAAATGATAATTATCCTTAATTATTAAAATGAAAGTGACATGCAAACCATCTGGACGACACGTCCATTTTTTATATTAAAATCAGTCATACGGGAATTGTTCTATTCAATGTGCATATCGGTACAAGTTCATTTTTGTCCTCACAGACATGTTGTCACTATGTGTTGTTTATCTTTTAATAAGTACTTTTTTGACAGACACCTCTTCCACATTTTTATTTTACTGTCCAGATATGAATGCCCAACTAAATGTAAAGATTAAGCAACTAATTTCATAAAATGTTGATAAATTCAACAGAATGACATTGAAAGCTTTAACATTTAACCATTTTCTGAATGCATACACTATTGGACAAAAGTAAAGCAACTTTTATGCCAATATTAATATTTTGAATTTTTTTGGCACAATGATTAATAACTTTGTAATTATTATCAATTTTAAAATGGTTTATTTGGCTGCTGTCATTGGTGGTAAACAACAAAAACCCCTGGGTTCAATTTAATTGTTATGTAAAAAACGGCAGTGATATAGTGACAAAAATAAAGCAACATTTTCAATTATTAATTGAAAAAATTGGTCGAAGTTTATTTCGACAGAACTTCTTCTTTGAAAAATTATAAAATTAGATTTTGCTATGTTTATTTTCTGATAACCTCTATAAAGTAAAAACGGGAAAAATGTCCTCTCAGGAGTAATAACAAGCTTTCTTCAAATGTATAAACACGCACTTTCAAGAATGTCGGAAGAATGTCACGTAGAAATCTATTTTGATTTTAATGAATGTGTCGCCTCAAAACAGGGAATTAAAATTATTGATTAAGCCACAGTCGAGCAGAATGTTCTGAATAATATTATTATTATAATTTTTATTAAGTATGAGAATGGGAAATGCCCTTATATTTCGTTTTTCAATAAGTAACGATCCAAAACATGCTTCACGGATCGTCAAAGAGTGGCTCCAAGAAAACAACGTTCAGGTTTTCAAATGGCGGGCGCAATCGCCAGATTTAAATCTAACTGAAAATTGTGGGAAGAAAATGGAGCGACAAACAAGAACTTCCGTATTCACGAATAAATAAGGTCTACTCACAAATATCCAAGAAATATGGAAGACCCTCCCCGCTGAGGTCATAATAAAATGTAATCTCTTCAATGCAACACCGATATAGTTATACAGAATAGTGGATATGCCATCAACGACTTTAAATAAACTAATGTCATCATTTGATTTTGTTATTTTCCATTATTGGTTTTGTTATGAATAAATAAAAAAAATGGCATATGCTTTTGTTGCTTTATTTTGTCGTACAGATTTTTGCTGCATTTTTAGAATGTTGAACATTTTCTACAATGAAGCTTAGGAAAGGTTAAATTAAATTTGTACAACAGCCTAACTTTGTTTAGTTAAGTTTTTGAAAATATAGATTATAAAGTAACAAAAAATTTAATTGTTTATTTATTGTCCATTCGCTACCCATAATGTCACCAAATTACGTATGTCCCCTCTCAGAACATACAATTTGTGTTATGATGGGTTGTCTACAATCTTGCTTCTAACAACTTGCTTTTTTTTGGTTTTCGAAAATTCGTTTCGCTTATTTTCGACAAAAAATAGTCTTTTTAAGGTTACATCTTTATTTGAGAATGTATCATAACTAGCTAGATGTGTATTAGCACAGAAGCAGAACTTTCATCTCTAAAAAAATGGTCTCTGAAGACACAACAAATTTGTACTTGAGGTTTACCTCGGTAACAGCTAGCAAGTGAATGATGAATGGGTATATGAAACCCAACCCTGTTTTAAGGATTTTCGGGAAAAATTCTCTGGTTCTTGAAACTAATTTTTTAAGAACACTCATGTGAGAAAATTATTTCGTCAGACTGGCAGCATGAAGAGGAAATCAGGAAGTCGCACATTAACAAAACGAACTCCCGAGGCTGATGAAAATGTCCAAGAGATTATGGATAATAATCTCCCTAGATCTTTAAGAAGGTTTTCACGGTAAGTTGACTTGTCATGTTCAACTCGTCAGAAAATTTTTGAGGAGAAATGACAGTCACAAAAAATTGGAGTTTGGTATGTCATTTCCCGAATATGACTATTTGGGCCCATATTCTTGAAAAAGTGCAGCGAAAATGCCTCAAATTTTTAGCTTTTATTGCCGATGGCAATTACCCACCACGAGACTGTGACCATAGTCTGTTACTAGATCGCTTTCTTCTAAATTCATTGGAGACTAGACGATTTATAGTAGCAATAAAATTTTTGTTCTGTTTACTCAAGGAAAAAATTGATTCGTCATATCTTGTAGGTAAAATATTTTTCATTGTTCCGAGAGTAAATTCAAGATGCTCTTTAACATTTTACGTACCTACTTGTAGGACGAATATTTTGTATAAGGCTCCTGTACAAAACATATGCAACAAATTTAATTTAATTTCTAGACAATGCGACATTAATGCGGATCCTCTTCAAATAATTTCTAAATGTAAATATCATAGATGTAGTAGGAATTTAATGAAAAGTAATTTAGTTAATTTTTCTGTATTTTAGGTGCAGTGTTGGTTAATTTTTCAATTTATATTGTATAGTTAATAAGTATGTTCTTTTTATGCAAATACGCTCTTTTCTGTGACCGCTGTTTATTATATTTCCTGTAATTGGGTACATATATACCTGTTGGAAATAAAGATATTATTATATTATATTATATTATATATTTTCTTCGAGGAGTCAATTACAGTTCTAGATATCAAAACATGCTGCAGGAATTTATTGACCCAGCTTGATCCTGAAGAATTGCAGAATGGATATTTTCAACATTTTCAGTTTATACAGCTCAAAGAAGTTTGATGAACCTTCTAAGGGGATTTAATGACGACGGTTTAATTACCTCCCTTACAGACCATTTCTACTCACCTCGATCACCTTACTTGACACCTTTAGATTATTCCTTATTCCCGATTTTGAAAAACGCTATTTTTATTAAACAATCAACAATAAGTGAATACAATTAAAAACCTAAAAGTGAAAATCATACGAAAGTGTGAAAGTATTTCGCCCGGAGTTTTTACTCGAGTATTTGCGAATATTGTTACGATGATCGGTAATTAAAGTCGGCGTGGGTAAAACTCAACAATTTATTTCTCAGGAATACTAATTTACACGACTAACTATACAGTGATTTTGTACAAAATAATTCCGACTCAATTTTACTCGACTGGAATGGTTTTGATTAGACTCTAATTCGCGGTCGCCGCCTTCGAGGTTGTTCTATAGTCCACCATCGAAACTTCCGGCATACCGTTTCCAGGCTTTTCTCTATTAGAACGTCACCGTCACCAATGATGAGCACCCGTACATACTAGAAAACCCAAAGGCGTCCATTGGCGGAGTGACGTATGAGTTTACTTCGTAACAATATGAAACTCCAAGTCAATTTATGTATCCAAGCTAGGGGCCAACACTTCTAGCAATTGTTGTAAATGCAACAAAGCTTTAATTCTTGTTGACATACTATAACCTAACTTGCTAAGTTCAGCCACACACAACCCATTATATTCAGATTATATTATGAAATTGTGAATTCATTTTTAAGAATAAAGTACTAAATTATTTAGATTTTTTGGTTTATAAAATTAAAAACTGTGTCAAGTTACGACTTACTTTTCGATCAAATTTATTCTGTCAACAAATTCTCGGGTAAATAAATTACAAATCAAAAAGAAATCAGACGTCATTTTATGGGAAAATTCGCGGCGTGTTGTCTATTATCAAAAACCTACCGATTTCTGAAGAAGTTCATATATGAATCTTATAGTTTGTTAAAACTCGATTTTTATATATCAAAATATCAAATTTTTTCCAAAAATCTATCGTTATTGAGCGCCAAAATTATAGAAAATGGACTAAAATATTTTTTTTAATAAAAAAGTATTTGATAATGATCTATGTCTTTGAGGTTTAATTAAGATATGCATTGCTTGAGACACGAATTGCTTTCGACATTCTTAATTGGAAGAAGGACTTATATTGATTCATATTTCAGAAATAATTTAAGTGTATTAACTATTATTTTGTTGCAGATCAATTTCAAAATTTTTACCTAACAGTTACATCTCTAACAAAAAAAAAGTTTTAACACAGTTGGAAGCGTTCAATTTAATTCGAAATAAATAACAAGAATTATTTATTGAAAGCATCAGTTTTAATGTATAGTATAGTCAGGGGCGCCAAAAAAAATCGCTGTGTGTTATGCATAATAAATAATGTTACCGAATTAAATTTATATAGTACAATCCACAAAAAAACGTTCTCAAGACGTCGACGAGCAAGCCGTCATTCACATTCTCCGTTTTGCTTGATCGCCCAACACCAACTTAAGAAAGTTTCTCGATTTTTTCTGTAGCCATATATATTCTAAAAATGTAGTAATCGTTTGTACAGGGCATTTGTATGTCGTAAAATCTTAAAGGTTCCTCCTGTATGATAACATTTGTCTCATTAATTACATTTTTTTCTACTTTGCAGTGTTGCAATAAACGACATCTGGTTTTATTAAAAAAACAATAATTAAATAGACAATTTTCTCTCACGTGCATTTTATTTGCATATTTTTTCTACATTTTTAAAGACCCTATTAGCATATAAATGATAATTGTCTTTAATTAAATAAAAAATGACATGCAACCCATCCCTACTCTGGCCCAAGGGTCAAGAGTCGTCCACTTTTTAGATTAAAATCAGTCATACGGGAATCGTTCTATTAAATGTGCGTCTGTGTACAAGTTAATTTTTCGTCCTGATAGACATGTGGTCACTATGTGTTGTTTATTTTTTAATAAGCTCTTGTTTAGCAGATACCTCTTCGTTATACTTTTTCTGTGCGGATATGAATCATCAAATATTTGTAAACATTGAACAGGTAATTCTTCATATTTTCCTAACTTATACAGCAGCACGACATTGACAGCTTTTTAATATGTAACACTTTGGAATGCATACGTTAAAGAAAGAAGAGAATACTACTCTAAAAAATATGTAAAATTTTTGACATTTCGTGTCCAAACTGTAAACCATAGAAAAAAATAATTGCCACCAACTTTCCCATTTTAATAATAGCCATATATGTTATCCAGCAAGCACCAGTCCAATAAAAAGACAAATATAATAACAACAAAAAAACATTGGTCTAAGCTTATTCAGACAGAACTTCTATCCCTCTAGCTTACGCACGGGAACTAACAATGTGCACAATAAAAGGAGAACAAATTAAATAAAAATATTATAGACTAACATGGGGAAATATGAAAATATGATTTTGTACAAATTTTTAAAAGTAACATTTAAATTAAAACAAATCTACAGCATATTTACACATGTTTTTATGAAAAACCCTATAGAACAGTATAGGTACGTTTATTGAGTGAAAATTACTAATCTCACGTCTAATTTGCACATTTTACGTTTCTCCCAATTCTTCCAGCTAATGGGAATGTGGTATGGAATCGAAATAATAAACCACAATTCAGAACAACATTATGTCCGCATGGGCAATTCTTGTCCCATTTTACACATATCAGAAGATAAAGACTACCCTATAACTACTTATAACCCCTTATACAAAAATTACAACTATGGTTACAATTATGGCGAAAGAAGAGTACCTACCGACAGACCGACCCAGCATGAATATGATCAATATGGAAGACCTATCCAAAACCCTTATGACAGAAACTACTACAACAGACGATTTAGCACTACTAAAAATCCCAATAGAAGAGAACGTCAATATGACATGAAACGAATCAGAATTTGGTGGGACGAAAACGGAGCCGGAACTGAATATCACTTAAGGTATAATACAAGCAGACCAGGATTTTGGATTAGTTCAGGACCACAAAATGGTTTGATGGACATTTTAATTTGTTCTATAATAATGTTATAATAAAAAATTGTCGTAGGGTCAGAACTGGAGCCCCAATATAGTGATTTTGCCGGAACCGTACAGGTTATAAAAGCAGTTGGAAATCATTTGGTACTGACTTTTTGTCATCGACTTCCTGAGAAACAGTTATTTACTGTCCTTTTAAGTAGGGATAACAAACTAGGGCAGCCTGAGATACACAGCGTGCATAATTTATTGAACAGGAGGGGTTTAAGTGCCAATGCGGTTAAAAAGGTGTGTTGGAACGGTGGTGAAAATATTAAAACTCCCTTAGCAACTACTCTTTTAGTTTCTGTTCTTAGTTTGTTGTTACTTCGTTTTTAATATACCAGTAGACACGATTTAAAGTCCACAATGTTTTTCCGTTAAAGTAAAGTTACGCCAAGAAAAATGTAGGTTAGTTAAGTTTTGTTGAGGCTTGTTCGTAATACCTCATTTACATCATGACTAATAATTAGACTTAGTTGTTGATCATTTTAAATTACTTCCTACACAGTTGTTACTTATTTCTCCACGTATTCTTATTGTACAAATGTAAAATAATTATAACTAATTGTACCTTCCTGTTGACGCATTTGATAAAACCTATTATTTTGTTGTTTTTAAAGAGTATTATATCTTGTTGACCCACAGATTTTTTAAATATATTTTAAATAACTTTGAATTTTCTGTTATAAAATAGAATCCCAAAACGGCATTTTTCATTGTTCATATATTTTGTAAAGATTTTTGCACATTCGTAATATTTCAACATTTTTCTTCATATTAATGATATACTGAACTTGATACAGGAAATTCGTATGGGAATGAAATCATTTAATAGGTGACATTTATTTTACAAAACAACATTTTTTTTAAGTGATCCTGAACTTATTTGATCTCTGCATATATACATTTTTTTATTAATTACTCTTAAAATCGAATAAAACTTCAACTGCTAATAACAGAAAGAAGTATTTTGTGTTTTTTCCGTTAGTGGAAAAGATTTTATTTTATTTTATTTATTTTAGTGAATTAAAATAAAACGATAAAGAATTATTGCTCATTTAAAAGCAGAATAACTTAATTACTGGTTGTCTAGTGACTAATTCCACGCTGTGGTATGTACATAATAAAAGTAAACAAATTGTGCATGCAAATATATAAACACGTACCCACTCTTTTATTTTTTAAATAAATTGTGAAAACTTACTTAAAAGGAACGACAGGTCCACTTTTCCCGCAGAATGGAAATATTGAAACACCTTTGCACGAGTTTTAATGATTGTTACCATTACTTCATAGGTCTATCTTTTTAAACGGTATTTTATCTATGTGTATTATCAGTTTATCTAATCGTCTGACTAATATTGTTACAGTGGTATTATAAAACAGTATTGGAAACTCGATTTTTCAAAATATTCCTACGAATAATGCTAATACATCTGGCATGTCAGGCATGTTAATACTAAACAACACAAAAAAATATTTAAATAAACTCATCTGAGTAATTTAAAAAATCCAAATCCAAGTTTATGTGGTTTAAAAATGAATTACGATTTTTTTAATGCGAGTTATGCTATTCATACAGGCATTTTAATTTTTATAGGAAATGCGCAAATGGAAAAAAACTATCAAAATAAGATTCTTATAAAATAAAAATAGTATTATGGTGCCAAAATTTTAAGTCTCCAAAAACCGGAAAAGAAAAAATGACAAAAAGGCGAAAATAAAACGTCGATTCCAGTATTCCACCAGTGCATCCGGTTCAATAAGAAGATAACCAAACGTGAAATATTAGAATAGCATTTTGATAAAAGTACTCAGTACTGCCAGAATTTTTTCAAAACTTCATTTGAAATTCATGTCAGTGGAAAATCTTGGCCGGGCTTAAATTAATTTTTAAAGTAGGTACACAAACTGGTGAATGTCCACAAACACAGGGTTATTATTATTTCGGAGTTAAACTAACGTTATTGCTTGTGTTTTAGCAACTTTTATTTTTTTATACCCTGAATGTACTATTAAAATTTGTTAAATTTCCGTCCGCCTATCGTCTGTTGTCTGGACAGACTGTTTTGAAATTTTAGGTTTGTTTTAAGAATATCTGGTAGATGAGAAATTAAAGTTTTTTTAAACAAACGACACGCCTATTTTCTTTATGTTTTTAAAATTGCTTATACAGGATGTCCCACAAAATTAAGGTATGAAATAATACAGTTCATTAATTAAATCAAAAACGACTTATCTCCTTTTTTTGTTTTAAAAACACAATCCAGCTGTTACCAGAATTTCGCTGTACCTATCAAAATTGAACCATTCGTTCCGAGTAAAAAGTTGATAACGTCATAACAAATTTTATTAAGATAAACTTATAGGAAATCTACGCATAACATGTTTGTCCCCTTGAGTTTTAATAATCCGTTTCTATTTTCATTTAATCCTATACCTAGAGGTTATCATAAAAAAATAAAATTCACAAAATTAAACTATAATTTATCTTCAGATTAGCTAGCTTCGTACATAGATTTTTTTAAGTGTTCTTGCGAGTCGACTTATGCCTAAATAATTTTAGACCAGTTTATACATCACATTTTTTATCAATTATTATCATACGAACAGTTCATTTAATTTCGCATGTTCTGGACCATATTTAGTTACGCTGGGATTAATATATTGCACATATCCAAATTAATACATTAGTCCTCAACAAAAATTTGGTAAACGCAAATTTACATAAAAAAAAGCCAAAATGAAGGGATAGGTATTTGTTCTGGGACCTCTATACAAAATAATTTTCTTTGACTTAACATGAACGACAACAAAGTGTTGGCTGATGGAGATCAAAAGTATTTAAAAAAGAGATTAAAGTCTAACTGACGAAACAATTTTAAAAATTATGAGACAATATATCAATCGAATACGCCATAGCTTATAAAATTGTTACGCGGTAGTAAGCGGTGTGATGATAATGAACTCCTTAAACTACATATTTCCAGTTTTTACTTAACATTTGTTTGTTTATTTATATTGGTTTAATGTAGACAGTGCAAACTATAAATGTGTCAATTTTAAACAAAAAACTGATTAAAATCTGATAGACAGTTTTAGAGATATTGAAAAAAGATATTAAAAATTGTCCTAGAGTTAGAACTTCTCTCGTACATGAAGTATATACAATTGAACAAATACAGTTTCTTCGAAAAAAAAATAATTTTGCGAATTTTATTTAACTTGATTTAACCAACAGGAAAAATATATTATTAATTTTGATTGTGTTTATACGTGAAAGAATGCGACTATTAAGCACGTACCAAGCTGTCTCCTCCAAAAGAATAAGTGACTAAAATTATTAAATAAGTTACAATACAACAAAAGGTTCTGAATAATATTCACATCGGGTAAGTAGCTGTTTTAATGATAAATTTTATTTTAGTATTATTAAATATAGGCGGGGGTAACATTATTGTACTCTCAAGTTTTCGAGAAAATGGGATCAATCGTTTTTGATTTGATCAATAAAAAAATCTATAGATAATATCAGTCGCAGTATAAAAACAGATTCGATGAGGATGGGATTTGAGCATACAGGGTCCGATAGCCCGCCTCCTAATCGAGGTATTTGATGCATCAACGAGACATCGGCTAGACGAAACCCGTGGGAAATGTTGCATAAAAACATTGTAAACTGTGATATAAATCAAGGCGGATCCATAAACCACGCGTAAAGGAGTATATTGCTTTATAAAATTTAGATAACATTTACTTCGTAAAATGTGGGGACTATTGAAATATAATTAATTCTATTTTTACTTCTCGAGTGTAATCGAAGGAAGTATTGTAATCGAGTCCATCGGGCGACTGGCTACTTTAACATTTTCTCGATGTGTCATGACCCCTAAAGTACAAAAACATAGGTCTGTCTGTTCGCTGTCGTGTGAATTTTTGTTAATATCAGATAATCTCCGAAACCACCGGACCGACTCTTGTCAAATTTTAAATGTGTATTATGAATATCATGAACATGGAAAACGCTAATCAAACTTTGTCTAATCCTCCCCACCAATAATGTATTGATGTTACCTCAAAATTGTACATAGTAAATTGGTTTTAAATTGCATAAAATAACAATCCTACACGTGTCGTTTATCAACCGGTATTGAGTTTTACCGGAAATTTTAGGAAAAAAATCAAAATTATACAACATTTTGCAATTTAATTTTGAATTTTCAAAACCGAGTGCTCCGAAATCTGGCAGACGTTTTATTGTTATTGTAAACATAGTAAATTTTTAATCAAAACATATCTATTTATTCCCCTCCAAAAAAAAAAAATGATGTTACATCATCCCAATAAATCCCATCAAAATGTTTAAAACATAACGACTTGTGTATTATCATTGCATTCATATTTTTTTAGAATTGTTTATATAGGCTGACTCAAAAAAATTATGAGTGAATTGATTTTATTGATTAAATCAGAAACGGCTCATTCCATTTTCCCGAAAATTTGAGAAGAATACAGTACTGTTATTATTAGTATTATAATACGTATCCAAATTGATATAATACACATCCTTGCAAAAATGTTGATGACTTGATCACAAAATTTTATAAACGAAAAACTCATTTGAAACATACGCGTAGCACGCATCTTTACATTTTTACTTTAACATTGAATACATATATTTATTATAACTTATAGAGGTTCTCATAAAAACAATAAGATTCGCAAAATAAAATTTTGTAATTTTTCGAAAAAGCTGGATATGTTTTATTATTATTATTATTATAATTATTATTGTTGACCACCCCTACAGATAAACCGATTATTAGGGTGGTATATTAGGGCTAAATTAGATTGTTGGAAATGCATAATTAAATAGTTAAAAATTAGGAGGCTGTTATAGATGTGCATTTTTGATCTGGCGTAAACTACAATTGAAGATATCAAATTTATTCCGATAATTATTATAAATTCTGCACATAGTTGTAATGGGCGAGAACACATGTACATTAGTTCTAGAAATTTCAGTATAAAAACATAAAGGGTTTCTAATGTTTGACCGGGGAACTAGAAAGCACAATTTTTCAACTAAAGCATTTGAATTTACAACACCATTCACCAATTTAAAAAGAAAACAGAGAGACAAAGTTTCTCTCCTCTTTTCCAAGCTTTGAATGGAAAAGAGTACCAAAAGCTCATTTTGAGGAAAACCTCTACAAGGGTAATAGCCAAATGATTTGAAATGGAGGAATTTTAAAAATTTCCTTTGTAACTTTTCTAATTTGAGACAATGAACATCATACCCTGGGGACCAAATAACACAGCCATACTCTAGTTTTGATCTAACAAACGAAGTATATAAACTAAGGAGAGCACTATTAAGTTGAAAGCTTTTGCAATTACGAATGATAAATCCTAACGCCCTAATTGATTAGGAAAATATCTCATCATAATGATTAATGAAGGATAATTTTTGATCAAATATAATGCCTAAATCTCTCACAGTGGAAACACGTTTCAAAATGAAGCCGCCAATTTTATACTCATATATACTATTGATATGCTTTAGAGAATATGTCATTACACTACATTTAGGAAGATTCAGCGACAACCCTTTTGCATGCTTGTTCTAATTTATAAAGATCAGCTTGAAGGAGAAGGTGGTCAGAAAATGTTGTTATTTTTCTAAAGATTTTTAGGTCGTCAGCATATAGAAGACACTCAGAGCTAAAGCCGATACTAATGTCATTAATAAACAAAATAAAGAACAGAGGTCCAAGAATGGACCCTTGCGGTACACCAGAAGTAACATGCACCTCAGTTGACTGAAAACCGCCAATGGTAACAACCTGCGTCCTGCCAATTAAATAAGAACTAAAAAGTTTAATTAGGAAATCTGACATACCAAAACTATCCAACTTGGCAATCAATTTAGAGTGGTCTAATCTGTCAAATGCTTTAGAGAAATCAGTGTATATACAATCCACCGAACATTTAGCATCAAAAGACTCGGAAACAAACTGAGTAAACGTACAAAGATTTGTTTCTACAGATCTGCCATTGAGAAAACCATGCTGTAAATCAGATATATAAGGCCTAACATGCCCGATAATAACATCATAAAGCAACATTTCGAATACCTTGGAAAAATTGCAGAGCAAGGTTATGGGTCGATAATTTTCGATTACATTTTTGTTTCCATTTTTGAAAACTGGACATATATTCGACTGTTTCCAAATGGACGGGTACTCACACTGTTTAATTGCTAGATTGAATATAACACATAGGGGAGAAGCAAATACAGTTGCACAGTCGGTTA